ACCAAAAAGTATGCTGCCGCCGGTGACGGATATCCTGCACACCCCCGCGTGGTCACGGCAAACGGCGTTTCCCTCATCGTAGAGCCGAGTGGCCCACTTAATCGTCGCTCCGTCCGTGCATGGGGCCCAACGAACGTTACCCTTTTCAGTCACTCTCAGATGCACCTGTATGCAGAGACAATTCAATGCCGCATGCATGGCAGCAGCGCTCAGACGTGTCTCCTCCGGCTCCCTCGCATTCTTCGTGTTGGCGGGAAGCGTTTTCAAAGGCCACGAAGAGGGCTCATCCCCAGGCACCGCAGACGAATATTCTCCCCTCCAAATAACACCCTCAATATCCCTCACATCCAGTGCGGAATCAGTGACGGGGCAACAGCCCATCAGGCGTTTTGCTGACATTTCATGGATACTACACCGAAGGCCAACCACTGAAATACCGATCCGACGCGCAGCATTTGAGGAGAACGCCCACTTCGCAAAGCATTTAGCGATATTCACTGATGTCCAATGCGGGGCGCCTCCTCAGCAGCAGCTCACAGACCGCATTCCTGTACCAACGCATCGGCTCCACCATCTCCCGCTTCACCCTCATGCAGCCCAGGTCAGCCGATGCAGCCAGCGTCAGCTCCGTGCAGCAGCCGGCACCCCCAATCAAAAACATCCACTCATCCTACGCGTGGCGCTGCGATAAGCGCGACTCCAGCGTCCTCCTGTCCCCATCGCCATCCTGCAGCTCCATGCCATCAATGACGTCGCAGTCGTGATGCTCCCTCGCTTCCAGCACGGCGGTCGTCGAGTCCACCACCACCGACAGCGCTCTGCCACGCACCGGTAACATTCCTCACCATGCTGCGGCTGGTCATGTGCGAGCAGGCAAACCCGACAGCATGGGGCATCAGGCGCGCGGCAATGCGGATGAGAACGCGTCCATAAAAAACTGCCGGGGCAAAGTGCATGGCGCCAGCGACGGGACGGCCATCCTCCAGCATGGCGCACCGCAGCAACCACACACCACCAGCGCCGCAGCCACGCACAGCACCATGCCAGCATCGGCAACACCAGCGGAACAATGCCCAGCAGGCACCGTGAACCGACTGCAAACGCTGCCCGCGGCAAATGGGGGCGCAATCAAAGGACCCTCCAGTGGCTGGACAAACGGACGATCCGCATGCAGTTGGACAGCAGCGGGGATAGCCTCCTCGGCAAAGATGTTGCCGCGCACAGAGGAAGGAACACCATCCTAACAACCTCGATTCTCATCCAATGAATGCATTGCGTGAGACCACTGTGAGAGGCAACACTTCCTGGTATCATTCAATTCCCTTGTGGACACATTGATGCGGATGGGTGCCCATAGGTTCCTACAAACGACGATTTACACCTGCGATGCACCCTGCGCTCTGAGATGCATTTTCACCACCGTAGTCGGGATCGACCTCGTGCCGTCGGTACGCACAAAATCGTCAAGAAATCAGTAATCCTTCAGAGTGACAGCAACGCAACCGCTGGAAAATCACATAGCATGCATCATCACAAGCAGAAGTGCTGCAGTCAAATGTGGAAAGTAATGGGTCAACTGACGCGTGGCTTAATTGGAAAAACAAAAAAAAAAACGTGGTGACCTGAAAAAAATGCGAGAGGTCGATATTTTGTCAAT